CCGAGGGCCTGTCGCCACGCCCGGTGGCCGGCATCCGGCCCGCACACATCCGAGGGCCCCCCGGGGCCCCGGCACCACGGCTACTACCACGGCTACGACGAGGCTGACGGTCCGGGCGGCAGGGGTGAGGAGGGCGGGGCCTACGACACACCACCCCCCACGCGACACAGGTCCTCGGGCGCGGGGCGATCGCCCAGGACTCCCCGGGCCGCGGGCCCGGCCTGCCCCTCGCCCTCCCGGCACGGCCGGCGGCTCCCCAACGGCTACTACCCGGCCCAAGGACTGACCAGGCCCCGCGGGCCGGGCTCCCGGAAAGGCTTGCACGAACCCTACAGCGAGACCGATGAGGACGACTGGTGCTAAGTCCGGGCGAGGTGGCCCCCGCGCCCGCCCGACCCCCCACGCACCCCACGCACACACCCACCCAGAGGAGCCGCGCAGAGGCCGCGGAGTGGCAGGCGCGGGGTCCACCTCGCTGCCACCCGCCCAGTGGAGGGCCCGGGAGAGGACCTAGCAGAAGACCTCAGACTCTGGAGGGACGAGGGCTGGCTGGGACACTAGGGTGTCCTGCAAAGACCCTCGGCCAGAAAAGAGCCCCCTGGGCAGTGACGTCACCCCCGCCCGGCCCTGCGCTCCTGAGCAGCCACCTGCTGGAGAAGGTCCGACAGGGGCCCTTTGGGCAGAGAAACCACACCGCCAAGGGATTCGAATTAACTCAGCCATTTTTGGGAAAATGGGGAAAAAAAAAAAAAAACATTTTTAAAAAGAAAAATGGGGAGAAAAAAATAGTTTCTATTGATGAGTTTTATCATCTCAATTGAATCTTTCCTTTCCCTGGTGAACGGAGCTGGTGGCTATGTGTGGAGAAGGAGCCAGAAGCGAAGCGAAAACACAGCGCCCCACACAGACCTCCACCAGACAGACACACTCACACCCCCCACACTGTCTCAGACACACACAGGAGTGCTTGCTGGTTATACCAAACCCTACTATTACTGCCTGCAGAAATCAATTTAAAAAAATAAACAATTTTAAAAAGGACCAAAAAATTAATGATTGAGAAAAGAAGCATTTTTTTTCTGACATTTGGTCCTGCTTGAAATAACAAAAGAAAAAGAAAAAAAAAAAAAAACACTGATTCCTTTGCTTCTTTTTTCCTTTTTCCTACCTTGTTTGAAAACTGTGGGCTTGGGACCGTGAATTATTGCATGACATTAAAAAAGAAAAAAAAAATAAAAGTTGAATCAAAGGGCTTTGGCATTGAAGTTGGTCCTTGTCCCTTGGCAGGGTGATCCTGGGGTCTTTTTTGGCGATTTTGGAAGGAGATGCTTTTAAAAGGGGTTTAAAAATGGCCGAGAGAGAGCAAGCCATCATTCTCCAGCCACCAGCTCTCCAGTCTTTGCAATGTCTGGGTGCTGTGTGGGCCAGCTCAGCTCTAGGTGCCTGGACCCAGCAGAGCACCAGGCAGACAGGCCCCTGCCCTCAGGGACCTCCCAGAACCCGGCCCCCATACCAGACCAGGGAGAGCCAAAGGCAAGGAATTCACCAGGTCCTTGCCAACTGTCCTGGCTCAGGGGCAGGGCAGTGCAACCCCAGTCCCCACCCCACCCTCAGACACAGACTCCCGGGCCTTCCACAGCAGTAGGCCACATGATTCCCATAATCAGAGGGCCAGTGAGCACCCGTGAGGCCACCAAAAAACCAAACCCATTGCTGTTTAGTGTACTCTGATTCATGGCAACCCCATGTCATGTGTTACAGAGTAGAACTGTACTCCATAGGGTTTCTTGGCTGTAATCTTTATGGAAGCAGATTGCCAGGACTTTCTTCTCTGGCACTGCTGAGTGTGTTTGAATCTCCAACCTTTTAGTCGGTAGCCAAGTGCAAATTGTGTGTGCCACCCAGGGACCTTGTGAGGTCACACGCCTGAGCAAAGTCTCCTCTATAAATATCCTGTGGGAGTCACCCACAAACCCAGTTCAGGGGACCTGTGCCCAGGAAGGGTTCCCACAGGGGATGCCAAGGCCCAGGCCCTGCAGCTCCCCAGTGCCTCCACCCACCCTCCCTGCCCCCTACCATCTGAGTCCCAGGTGCTCTGCCTTGAGCTGTGTCCTGAGGCCAGACTTTCCTGAGATCCCCTAAATTGTCGAGGGGCTGGGGGTGGGGCATTCTAAAGGCCCAAGGCCAGAGCAGCCCATGGATGGGGGTGGGTCATGGCCAAGTCAAGGTGAAGGCAGTGCTTCAGAGATCCAGGTGGGAGGGTCCTCATGGATGCATGCACATGCGTGTCTGTGTGTGTGTGCATGCTTGTGTGTGCATGTGTGTGTCCGTGCATGTGTGCACGTGCATGCGTGTGCGTGTGTGTGCGTGTGTGCCAATGCATACACGCGCACTCTGACTCTCTGGGGCTTGCAAGATGGGAACTGAGGAGTCCTCTTTCCAGTCACAGGGACTAACACCCTGTCGCCCCTCCTCCTTCAGACTCACCCAATGCCCACCTGCCCACACACCCCCACTCCAGCCTTCCAGAAGCTGGCCCCACAGATGAAAGTTGTAGATAACCCTCACCCAGCCCCCCAGGCCCACAACCTCCCCTCCCTGCCTGTTCGTGAATGCTTCTCTCCCCTGTGGCCAGAAAACTGTAGTTGGTAAGGCTGAGGGGTGGGGAGGCTGTTGATTCAGGTAAGCAAAGGGCCAACTGTACCCCTTGTTCGAGTTGGGGTGAAAGGCCTTTCTTTGGCCTGAAAGGGCAGTTCCTGGATCTCTTGAGTGAGGGCTTCAGAAAATCTCACAAAATCTGCAGACAAGGAGAGGGAAATGGCCCCCAGGAGAAATTGGGGTGTTGTTGCCAGAAGGAGAGTTGGAGACTGGGCAGGTAGAGACAAACCACAGACATCTGCCACACCCCAACATTTGAGGGGCTGGTTATCACTACCACCCTGGGCACCCGCCACAACTCGGCTCCAGCCTCACTGGCCATGTAGCCTTAGACAAGCGACTTAACCTTTCTGTTTTCCCATCTGTAAAATGGAAATGATAATAGTACTATTTCAGACAGCTGTTTACAGGGATTAAATGCATTATTCTATATCAGGAATCAGTAACTTTTTCATAAAGGGTCAGAGAGTGAATATTTGCACAGCTTTGCAGCCCAGACAGTCTCTGTCGAAACTACTCAACTCTGCCATTGTAGCAGGAAAGCAGCAGTAGATGATCCGTAAACAAGTGATCATGACTGTATTCCAATAAAACTTTATAAAAACAGGCAGTGGGCCAGATTTGGCCCCTGTTCTACAGCAGCGGTTATTAAACTTTTTGGTCTCAGCACCCCTTTACATTCTTAAAAATCACTGAAGATCCCAAAAAGCTTTTATTTATGTGGGTTATATCCACCAATATTTACCACTTAGAAATTAAAACTGAGAAGTCTTAAACTGTTTATTGTTAGTTTTAAAGTGACAGTCAACCATAAACCCATTACATGATAACAAATAACATTTTTAATGAAAATATTAAAATATTTTCCAAGAGAAAAGCTTTTCGTGAGAAGAGTAGACTTGTTTGACGTTTCTGCTTCTCTCTCTAATGTTGGCAGAATGGAAGACAGATGGCTGGAGTCTCATATTCGATCCTGCAATCAGCCTAGTGCAATATCACATGTCACGTAGCCTCTGGAAAACCCCACTAAACGTGTCTGAGAAATGCAGGGGCCTTCTTAGTATTGTTAGAAAAATGGGCTGGCCTTGTAGACCCCTGTAAGGGTCTCGGCGGCCCCAGGGCCCGCCTGGTACATTTAAGAACAGCTGATCTTAGAACAGTACCCGCCTGTGGTGAGCTATTTACTCTCCCTCTTATTATTGTCGCATCAAACCTAAAAGTTAGGACACATCCTGCTCTGAGTCCAGGCCTCCTCGGAGCTCATGTGAGGTAGAGAAGGCCAAGGGACCTCAGCTGGTAGAGTGAAGAGTTTCCCATAATGATGGCATCTGGGAAGTTGCAAGGCCGTGAGAAGCTTCCTAACCA